GAGAGGACTTAAACCTGGAAATTCAGAAGGTGGGATCGGTGTATATGAGGACTAAGCATCCCCTGTCGAAAGGTCAAACCCGGCGTGAGCACTATGTATTGATCAGGAAAACGGGAAATTCCATTGTGAAATTCACTACATGCATAATAACAAAAGCCTACCTTAGTATGGAGCAAGTCATACAAATACATGTATGACCCAATGACAGGTTAATTTTTGTTGAAGGGATATTACTACATAAAATCATGTCGTTTGTCATAAAATGCCAGCCGTCAGTAAAACATGCAAAAATGAAAGAGATGTAGCAGATTCTGATATGTCTTTTATTTACAAATTCACTTGGAAACATCGAATCGACATATGAAGATCATATTTTGTTACAATATGTTATATTTTTTAAATTCAAAATTACAGAAAAATACATTTTATCAAATCTACGTCTTTTTTGGATTCTTGTTTAATCATCTAATTTCTGCCAATGATATTTTCCCTCAAAATTGATTTCAAAAGGTAGGTCCGCTTTATCGTACCATTTTCATAAACATATAAACTGCATAAGACCCGATGTCCCATACACCAATATTAAGTAGACACTATGTGCTTTCAATTAATTGAAGTGTACGTATTTTAAAAATAAGCTTTGTGAAATTGCAATGTTTTTGCAGTTTTTGAATTTCTGTCGACAATGCCATTTATAAAAAAAATAAATAAATGAAATGTACGTATTACACATAAAATGTCGAATTACAATCAGTTAAAGGTAACCCTTCCTTTGAGATTGAGAACATGTACATGTATTCTCTGCACTTTAACCAAATAGTGACGTTGCTTTTTAAAATTTGCATGGGTTTGTTCGAAACTGTATCTCATTTCTTGTCTGCCAATCAGAATTAATTTGTTTTATTACCTTGCTTCCAAATCTTTTCAATTGTGACAACTTTTAAAAGAAAGACAGGGTTCATTATTTAAATGTGTCATCTGAGTTACGTGTTAGGATAATACACTTTCTCTGTTTGGAGAAACCTATTTTTTCGCAAGGAATTTTGAACTGATGGGCAATATTTAAAATGTTTATGTAAAGATAAATATTTTATATACAATGCTTCTATCAATTAAAAAGAGGTGACCAAGAAAAAAAAGATTAATAGATATCAAAATAATTGATTTGTACTTTTACTGGCATACAGCATCATGGTAGATAATGAAATACGGTCGTCCTACAATTGAAAATTGCGTTTGCTTTCGTGTACAATTTGTTTGAGAGATTTTTACCCTAAGGATATAACAAAAAAACTTATTAAAATACTTAATGTTTTCGTGACGTTGAATTACTTTTAACAATTAACTGAAACAAAATTATTCAACCAACATGAACAGCGCATAACAAAGGAATCCACTTCACTCTTTCATGAAAATGCCCAATTTGGAGCAGAGCACAGTAGATAATAGTATTCTAAGCGAGTCATCTACAAATAACCACTGTCACGTAGATTACTTGACAGAGCGCTCACTACCTTATTGGAAGGTCATTGGTTTTAAACCCAGTGGCCGCGACTGACCTAAGTCGAAAAAATGATACGTGAAAGCCGGGCTAGAACCATTTTTCAGACGTAAGATCTCAATGGAATATTAAAATGTTTTAAAAATTAAATAAAATATAGCTAAACATATTTATCACATGTAAATTCAAAATTCGTTGATAAGTTATATATCAAGTATTATGTTTCCCTGCATTTGTGTTAGCCTGATCATTTATTTATAGAATTATTTTTAAATTGTTTTGTAAAATATTACAAATACAATTTAATATTTTGATAAAAATATTCGACTATTTCTTAAGGTGTTTGCATGGATTTTGTTTTCAACAGAATGTAATGAATTTCCCATTGTAAGAAAATGTACAAAGGAAACAATAGTAACCATCTTTCAGAGTAAGATCTCTGGAATAAATATACATGTAAATTAAAAATTCGTTAATAATAGATGTTCAGATCATTTTATTTTTACATAATGAATTACAAATACGAAAGACATGGACACAAATGTAATAAATGTAAGAAAATGTACAAAAAGGAAACAATAGTCCTCAACGTTATGTAACTACCGGTATCTAGGACTAGGATTATATAAGCTGGTGTACATCACTCCAGATTAACACTTTCTTTTTCTATCTCGTTGACGAAATCTCAAAAGATCCGTCATCATTATATCCTTTTCTTATTATATCGTAACATCCATGGCTAAATTTCCAATAACCAAACCAAACACCACTTGCAAATAAAGAAATAATTAACACTCAACAGCAGAGTTGTAAAACCCATAATCTTTTTTGAATGAAAATAAAAATCACGTTAGATGTTAACAATGTCTTCTACATTTCGTGATTTTCCAAGATTAAACAACACTGTCAAAGTCTGTATATTGCAAATGAATTGTTCGTACAAAAAATAGTAAATTCAACACAATGGTGACTGATATACATTGCCAAAAATTAAACACAAAGTTCCAATTTACGGGCAACTTTGGGACATCTGAGGTCAAAAGGTGAGAATGAAATGAATGGAGATAACAAACAGTATCCAAACTCAAAAGTCCATTCCAACAATATAAATTAAAATGAGAGCAAACTCGGATCTTTAAAGCAACAGAGGTGGGCTCGGGTGTCATATAACAGTAAACATCCCCTGCCGACTGGTCACACCCGCCGTGTGCTTCTTGTGAGGATCGGGAAATAACGGAAAATCCGTAGACAATTCAGTGTGTAAATAATGGTCAGAAATAAGTATTGAAACGCCAGTCAGCATTATACTTCATAAATTGTATTGCTGAAAATGTCTGATGACTTTAAACGAGACAGTTGATATTCTTCTTTCATTAACTTGATACTTAAATATTTATACGTAGAGTGTGCTCTTGTTTATCGAATCAATTGAGAGAAATAAACCTCATATGCAGGTGATGAACGTATATTAGTGCATAAGTAAGGGAAATTGAAAAAAGTTAAAACCATTACGTTTATCATAAAAGCCTAATTGTAAGATTACTATTAACGTCTTTTCTGGTAAAATACTAGTATAAAAGTATGAAAGAGATTTAGCAGACTCTATGGTCTTTAATTTAAACCTCAATTGGATATACATATGAATGGAAAAACTATTGTAAGAATTTTTAACCTTTCCTTGGCTTTTATGGACGTTGTCGATAGCAGTATCCCCCCCCCCCAAAAAAAAAAAACTGCAACAATAAAATCAGCATCAAAAAGCTATGTAAGAAAATCTAAAAGTAGTTCAAGCCTTTCATGACATCTATTTTATAAAACATCATTATATAATAATTCATAATCAATCTAGTCACGGAAGCAATGCCTATATTTAGCACTCACTGACGATATTTTCAGAAGTTCCATCATCATTTTCGCTTTTGCTGGAAACTTTCAGTGAGAAATATATCACCTAATGACGATCCCAGCCTATTTCTGCTGAGGTCTTGTAGGTCGAGCTAACCGTCACGCGTGCGTGATGAAGAAAGCGGAATTGTCAAGGAGTAACAGCCATTTTAGATTGTAAACTAGTTTTGGATTTAAATGTCACTGATTATCAGGATAGTATTGCATATTGATTATGTTTCAGAAAATCATTCTTTCCACTTAAATTTCTCTTCTGTTATCCTCCTTTCTTTGACATGAAATATTTTGTTTTGCTCAAACATAATATCCGGGCAATCTAAATCTGTCTTGACATATACTCTTCAGTGGTGCAAAAATTAACATAAAAAGTATTATGACTACACTGGTGCGAAAGCATAATGTATAAAAAAACAAATCTTATTTTACGTCTTAAAAGGTTAAAACATTTTCAGTAACCCCTGCTTTGATGTGAATATACACAAGTTCATGATCAGTTATGGAGAGAAAATGAATCCCATTATACTGAATGCCTAAACATAGTGTATGCTAAAATTTCAAGTAATACTTGTATATTGGGAAATATATATACATACATACACATCCGTTTTATTTTAAGTCTGAACAAAGAATGTTAGTGCAATAGCTCTTCTGGATTTCCGTACATATCCGCAAGGTTTCTGGAACACGAGCAGATAGTGTCAGTTTGCAATCTGTATATTGTAAGCAATAAAATAGATAATATAGTTTAGCATATCACTCTTCCCGTGAAACTCAGACATTTTTCCCAATATGGATAAAATTACCGAAAGCGTATCTTTGTCCTCTTCAAATTATATTTTCTCAAATTGATCAATCTGCTTTTTACAGTTATTAGTAAGCAGTTGTAGTTTCTTCTAACCTTTCTTCCCTTGCTTTTTTAAAACTAGAAATGATCTCTAGTTTGTTGTACTCGTTTTTACTTTTTGTGTTCTGGTTTTCTTCAAAAGTAGAGTATGGTAAACTGTTATGCATGGGCGTTAGATTTAAATTGCCAACGATAAGACCATCCAAAAGAATTCAGACTTTAAATTTCTGAGTTATAAGCTGTACATGTAAGCATACTACCATGGGGGGGGGGGGGGTTATTTCCTAGCAGGTAATCGTTCACTTGGTTAGTCAGTGTTTTTTAACCTTAAATTTAGCTTAAATTATAGACCCTTTGGCTTAGATTTGATACAATATAACATTTATAAAGGAACATGTATTAACGGATATTGAAGAATATGAAGGAAATGTCAAAAATCGAAGGTATTTTCAGTCATAATAGAGGAGAAATGGGATATTTCATATTTATTAAAAGAGAGGTTATGATAAGAATTTGCGTGAGAAACACAGAAAAACACTTTAAATTTGAATCGACTTTTAATTCTGAAATGAAAATATTGATATTTTGTTTAGTTTAAAATTGCAACGAATCAAAAAGGATATTACCATTTATAAATCATCTTTGTTTTCTTGTTCACAAAAGACAAAAGAAATTAAGTAATTTTTTTTTTGATTTTGTCAGCCCAATCTTCTTCCAAGATACCTTGGCTATTGAAAACTTTTATGGCATACTTGTATTGTTTTATCTACAATTTTGAATCAGCATAAGTTATTTTTTTAAGCTTTGTAAGGCCAAGTCTAAGGAAAGTTTTTGCTATCACTTTGTGTTTGTGAGTTATGATAAAATATAAATCACAAATATCCGTTTCACTTTGCCATGTTGAAATATCTAGAGTTTCGTTTGCGAAACTTTCACCTAAATACTGAATGTCCACTTCCAAAACGGGGTAATGAAAGTCAGCCTCAAAATAATTGTAAAATTTCGCTTCTGCTGCACATGCGCAACAATCTAAACAGAATCGTATATATGAGGAATTATTTACATGATTCATAAAGTCCGTATCACTGTGAAGAGGGAAGACTTTCTTTCGAAAAACTTTAGAGGGAACATTATCAGGAAACGGAGGCCAACTGTACTTTGGTCGCATACCGTTCAGGCCCTCTGCTTGTTCAAGATAAAAAGGGTTATTTGGGACCGCTTTCTTTGTTCTTTTGTTAAAGTTGACCATTTTTCTCATGTTTGTAGCGTACACATATTCCGTGTGCTGATTGAACATCTTTACTTTGAAGTTTAATGATGTCCGCCCAACTTCTTGGCAGCCAAACACAATCCTGGGGTTGAAGTTTGATTGGATGGTTATATCTTGGTAGTAGCGTGGACTGATTTCACAGTGCTGGCGCAGAAGAATGTAGTCCTCTTCATGAGAAGTGACAGTCTGGGTACAAGGTGACAAAGAGGCTGATAGCATTAAGGAACCTTCAAACATTCTCACCAAGGACCAAGTACTCCAGTGACCTGTGATAAATATCGCTTTATACACAAGGATTTATGAATACAGGTTTAGAACCTAACCCACTTTTTCCTCCAATCAGCAGCTGCTAAATTTTCTATTAAGTTGATCACTTAATTGTTAAGATTTTACGTCTATGCAGTAACTCCGCGCGCTGACTTATTAGCCAATCAAAATAGGTTCTAAGTAAGTTAGATCATATTAAGTAAAATTTTAGTGGTTAAGAAGGGCTCGGTCGCTTCGCTCCCTCCGCCCCTTCTTAACCACTAAAATTTTACTTAATATGATCTAACTATTACATAAGATTTACAAAATGAACTTTTTGAATTATTTTGGGTGTGACCGGTCAACACGGGATACCAACTCCTCATAGGCACCTGATTCACCCCTGGAATTCCCAGGGGTCGTTATTTTGCCCTCTTCGCATATTTGTATTGTTTATAGATTGAGGTCGATCGCTGTTCGTTATCTTTAATTTTTGCAGATTAAAGTTGAAAAGCTATTCTGTAAACGGTGCTTTAAAAGCATTTTAAATGTTCAATAACAAAACTAATTCATTTGTATTTCATTCCTTAATGTTTAACTTAAAAAAAATGTTTTAAACAAGATGATGTATACATACCAGTTTTATCAAATTCTGCATATGGTATTCCATGATATACGACCTCCACAACATCTTTTCTTTTTCTTTTGTCATAGAGTGTATTAAGAGCCATAGTTAACCTGTGTAAAATGTTTTAAAGAACAGGACGAATTATGAAAGGGTCCCCCTTTTAAATGTTTGCAATACTACGTGACTTAAAAATAAACATGATAAAAATATTAACCTTGGGATGAATGAAAAGCGAAGGTCTTCTAACGGATGTCTCTTTTGGAATATGATCTGTACTGTTAAAGTACAGGCCTATATTCTGTCACCTATATGATTAAATATGATTCATGACACATATGTGTACTAACATTACTTCGTTGGGACAAACGGGATATCTCTTTCTCTCCTAGATATTAGCATCAACTGATGTTCTAGAATAAAAATAGACCTTTTAGCTCACCTGAGTCAAAGGCTTCACTGAGGTTTTCTAATCGAAGTGTGTCCCCTTTCTGCAATGTGCATTATTTCGGGTGATGTCTGAAAATTTCTCAGATCCTCAAATTATGTTAAAGAAGCAATCGGTCAGTTTTAACCAATAAAATCCATTCGATGTTTGTTTTGGTGAAAAACTTTATCCATCTTTATATGGTCCCCGAGTTAGGAAAGGGGGCAAGAGGGGAAGAAAATTTCACGAAGAAGTACACATACATTTCTTTAAATTTAAAATCATCTTCTCAAGAACAGCAAGGCTACAATTGCTTACAAAAACATGCAACATTATAGGTAGTGTAGTTTAACTTTCTTCAACGTATGACTTCACAAAAAATGGTTGTTCGTGTTCAGCTGATGATATCACAGAGAAGAGTGGTGTCACAAGGTCGACTTAAGTTTTACATAGAAATGTATAGGAAAAACTTGAAGATAGTCTTACAAAGAGCAGCAGGTCCATGCTAATTTAACAAATATCCACAGGTTGTTCGAGTTCAAGTTTGTTTAAATTGTGGCCCTGAGGATGGGGTTGGGAAAAGATTTAAATTAATATCATGTTCCCTTGGCTAGATTTTTACTTTAAAAAAGATTTCCATTAGAACAAAATCACAAAATTTCAGGGAATAACATACGGAGTAACATTTCCATTCCAAAACAAATCACACAAAATTCCAATCTGATTAACATCAGATCCTTAGATCCGCTCACATAGATTGTGTAGCGATCTGTGTGATCGGATCAAAGGATCCGATTTTAATCAGATTGACAAAATTCTTTAGTTTTTAATGAATAATTTTATAAATGGACATTTTGGTTTGGTTTAGGGCTAAAACATAAAAACTGAGTTTTTTTTTAATTTTATACAAAGCATCCATTAAAAACAATCGATAAAAATGTCAGCATTCCAGGAGAGTAAGGTCAAGTTAGTCTTGTTAATCTTGATATTGATGAGTCCTTATGCCGTGTGGACTCAGGACAGCGCCTTAGCGCTAGGATAAAGCTAAAATAAGGTGTGAGGCAAAGAATTTCTTTGGAATAATTTTGAGAGAACTTCTTATGAACTACAACAAGACCATATTAAGGTGACTCATGTGAGTGATATGGCCTTTGGGCCTCTTTCGACAATTAAACCAGCTTGCTAAGTAAGATTTTTTGAAACTAAATTGATGCTTTTTGATTGGTTTCAAGGACACATAAATGATTGTTTCTATGATTGAAAAGAGATTAATCTTTTGAAATTTATCAAAGTTTAATAAAAGTCAAGAAGATATTACAGTATAAATCCAGGCTTAGATGAGATGAATGAAAATTTGTTTCTTCTGAATTTTAAAGATATACTAGTATAAATTTTATTGTTTAAATCAATAACTAAAAAAATATTTTAACAAACTTTGCTCAGATTGGTATTTAAATGCATTGTTATAGTACAGGAGAAAGAGCATTAGTTTATCTTGATTCAGGGTAAGAGGGTGCATACTTTATCTAAACTAGAACAATTTACGACCTTGACCTCGAAGACCTTTTTCGATTCATAGTGATTGTTTGCTAAATCTGACGTAATGCTTACGCATGCTCTATGATATATTTTTGAGAAAATATCAACATCGGAGGAATGTTTAAATTGAACTTTCTTACTTGTACCTACCGGGATAAGTTTTATTGGTATCGATCATAAATATCTATATAACGTTTGAGAAATAAAGGGAAATTTATCTTTCATTTTTTAAACAGAAGATCGGGTAAAAATATTTTGCTGTTTTATCAATTAAAATGCACGTACTGCTCATTTTTTATTCGCGAGAACTTTATGTTCGCGTAAATAAAAAAAAAGAAACTGTGATATTTGGCAATACATAGGTATGTCGTGTCAAACATTACAATTTTCGATCTACTCCATTTGTATTGTATATTTTCTTATTTGTTTTGTATAACTTTCCGTTGATTTTTCATATCTTTCCATTGCTGTTCTAAAATTTCCTCTTGTATATATATTGCACATATTTATGTAAATAGAACATTAAAAAATGAAACAGAAAGTTAAAGAATTCAGAATAAAACTTATAGAATGCAAACAGAGAATTATAGTATACAAATCAATGGAAAAATAATACCCTAGCAATGAAAAACAATACAATAAAAATAAAAAAAGAATACATGTAATAGAAAAAAAAGCTTAAACGATAAATAATAATTACCGGTACACAATAACATATTGACGCCATTTAAATAGAAAACGATAGAACACAAGTTGATGAACAGAATTCTATGTTGAATTCCAAAAGTTTTTACTAAAAATCAGAACAAAAAGAGACACATTGCTTTGCAAAGAAAAATGCTTTACCAATATTGTATTTCTATTCCTCAACAAAATATCAACAGCTGTAATGAAAAAATTTCAAATATACTTTGCTACAGCTAACATTATTCAAGAGATGATGATAATCAAATGTGGATTGTAAATCTAAACCCAAAGAACACTTACAACTGTCTATATAGTTCATTATCATTCTGATTTTACATATTCTACTTGTGGGTGCCCTGAAGTTGATATTAAAATGAAGTTGGAATTCCTTATTGACAATATCGGGGTAGTCTTTGGAGACCAAGTCATCCAGCAATCTGGTAGACTGTATAAGTCGACCAATTTCCTAATTCTTATGAAGCAGAATATATATATTTAAAAAAAACTGTAAGAGGAGAAAAATCCTATCTGTGGCCTACATTTTGACATTTATAATAGATATTTTTATCTTAATATCAATTCGATAAATATTAGTAAATCATGACCTGGTTTGCAGATTTCATTGTTTTTTTAACATTATTTTTTGAGTGGCGTGTTATTCCTGATGATGACCTTGATTTTAATAGTTTTTTTTTACTACTGATTACTCTGTTCGGCTGATCTATCCTGTGGGCTCACGGTGGAAGTATAAGGCAAATTTTTAATAATAAGGCAAAGTTTTTTCTTTGTTATAAAATTTTTCAAAGCTTTTCAAGCATATTTAATTTCAAAGTGATTATAACTGAACGGTATAAAAACTATTAAAAAGTTATCTCCTTCGATGTAAATTAATGCATTTATCCCTTTAGCTACGGATTAAACTCACGAGAAAAAAAAACCGGAAGAATGAGGCTCGAAATATGAAACAGGAAATGACCTAATTAATTTAATTACACAATTATACCGAAGTTTATCATAAGAAGGAAAGAAAGGGAGACTTCCTTTCAAATAACTCTCGGTGTAGAAGTTGATTATGAGCAGTCACGTGCTACCGCCGTGTCAATTAGTACGACTATCTCTAGGGCAATGACACGGATTCTTTCATTTTTTTTTCAGACGCAATTTCGTACCTAGTTTCATTTCCTAATCTTTTATCACAATTCACATAAACAGACCATACAGGTTATTTCTTTACAATTTTAAAAGTACATTTCATATGCCAGTTCTGTCTTTTATAGGAATTAATTAATCATACATGAATCACAAAAAGTAATCAGGAGAGTCATTTTATGATAGCATCTGTAGAAGAAATACAAAAGTACTAAACTTCATGAACTTTCAATCCAAATGACAACACAATACCCAGAATGTTTCAGGGAATAACATACGGATATAAATATGCCAAAAGTACAATGAACATTGTTGTTTTTCTTCATTTATTTATATAAATATCATACAATACATTCAATACAGGGATCAATAATTTTAGCTATCGTGTAGATTTGACATTGTTAACAAAGAGCTTTTTATACCATACATAGTTTTCAATAAAGAAACTGCAAAAATCTTATACAGTGTATACATAAGAAGTGACGCAAACATCTATAAAAAATAAAAATCTTGTACATAATTAAGGAGTGACGTGTGTTGTAAATGGTTTAACTAGCAACTTTTATATTTATTTTAAATACCAAAATTAAACAAGCAATGACAAAAAAAATCAAAGTATTTTAGTCATAATATTTAGTATAACATTTACATTTATATACGAGGGATGATCAAAAAGTTCGCGAACTATCTCTATATCTACAAAACTACAATTCAGATCAGAATGAAATTCAGTACACACATAGCCATACACAAGGTCTATAAATAGCATATGCAGAATAAAGTTTTTCTCCTTGTTTGTGACGTCACATAGTGAAAATGACGTCACTATGTAGGTCACTTGTGACGAAAAATGGTTGTCTCAGTCGGACTCGTTCAACAAACGACTGTACAATTTATCTTAGAAATCCCTCTGCAGTATCATATAATAATTTGTATACAGTTAATAAGATAAATGAGTTTCTATAAATTCAATTAATGATTGGATTGATCGTTTTAGTGAAGGAAGGCAGATGGTTAAAAATGATACTTGTCATCTTGCCTAGTGAAAGCAAGTTTGAAAAGATATGTGTTTTTAATTAAGCAATTTGCTATCAAAGACCTCCTTTTTACACTTTGAAAAATAGTTGAATATTTGAACAAAAATATAATTATTAAATACCTAAAATATCGTTTACTTTAGATTTCAAACATATTAGATATGATAAAAAGGAGGCACATATTCTCTATCCACCTTGAATAAAGGTCCCTCCCGAGAAAGAAGATTTGTGTTTTAATGGTCTCCATGCTTATTTTTGGAAAGGATATTTATATCCACCCATTCTGTTGCCGAGATTTGACCATTTCT